GGTTTCTCAGGGAATTCACAGAGGTAAATCTGTGTCCAGGGCCCTGTGGTGGCTGGGAGGGGATTGATAATGCACACAGACCAATAAAATTCCCTCTCCTTTGCCCAAATCCCGAGGCCACCCTCCCTGGAGCTCTGCTGGTCAGGGTGTGTGACAATGAGGCAAACATGGCTGCAGCCAAAAAGCTGATTAATAAATAACATGCTTTCCTAAATTCTGGGATTTGGAAGTGTCTGAAGGTCCCATTAATAAATAGCCAGCTGGGAAGTGTGTGAAAATCAGAATTTTTACCCAATTTTGGAGCTGCTCTCACTGGCAGTTGGGAGTGGGACAAGACCACTGGAGAAGGGAAATGTCTGTCAGTGCTGTCTGAGCAGAGAAACACCTAAATGTCCAGAGTTTGGGCAAAACCAGCGGGATTGAGGGACTGGGGAGGTCAAGACAAGAAAACAGGGATTGGGAGTGGGTTTTGCCTTATGCTAAATACTGAGAGAGAAGAAGATCTAGCTGCCGGTGGCTTTAAAAGACTGAGAAACTGGAAGAACTGAAAAAAAAAGAAGCAATGGGAATGGTCTGAGGCATACAAAAAAGAGGGTTTGTGCGGGACTTGGAGCTTGGAGGTCCTTCAGCTCCTCTGAAAGGAGAGGAAAAGAGATTTCCCTGAGCACTTCCGTAAGGAAATGCAATAAATCACTCCCAGAGCAGTGGAGAGTGTCTGGGCTCAGTTAACATGGGAAAAGGCAGCCGTGGAGTGAAAAGGTGGATGGATCAAATGGGATTTGATTCCCTAGGAATGGTCAGACCAGGCTCTAGAGGAAGAGGTGAATCCTTCCCTGCCATGGGGAAAACTGACGGAGAGCACAGAAAGAGATTCAGATTCCCCTCAGTCCTCCTTGTTTTGGTGGGCATTGTTGGACCATGGCCAGGACAACGGAGCTGTTCTGTGTCCCTGGGATTGGGCACAAGTGTCCACCCCAGAGCCTCCCGACGCCCAACTCCAAACCGTACTTCATTCAAAAAAACCCTTCACCTTCAAAAAAATCCCTTCAATCTCCTAAGGCATTTTTATGTAAAAAAACCCAAAATGACCCTCAAACCATTTTTTAAATTTTAAAAACCCATCTAAACACCCTTAACTTACATTTTAATAAAAAATTAAACATTTCATGCTTCCTGAGCCACCTTTAGTTCAAAAAACCATCTCAACTCCTGAGATGTATTTAATTAACAAGATTAAAAAATCTCATGCTTTCAGTGCCCGTTCCCCATGTCTGGGATAATTTTTCCCTCAAGACTGTGCGATTCCAGCACCAAGGGAGATTTAACGAGGGGAAAAACACAGTGGGAGGTTTTCCAAGGAATTCTGGGCTGAGCTTTTTCAGCCCGTGACTTCACTGTGGGGCCGTGTCCGAGTGTCAGCGCTGGCAGCGCTCCCGGCGAGGCCGAGGGTGGGAATTATCTCACTGACTGTAAATATCTGCCGGGAGCCTCTGCCCCGGCACAGCTCCCTGGGAGTGGGAGCGCCGCAGCCCCAGGATGCTCCTGCTGCCCTAATTTAGGCATTTCTGCGGGACGGGATGAATCACGGCCCTGGAAGCGCTGGTTTCTCCGCGGGGAGCAGGGCAGACGTGGCCGCGTGTCCCGGCAGGGATGAGCCAGCAGGATGATCCAGCGGGATGGGCGCTGAGCTCAGCCTGTGGCACGGCTGATGTGTCACGGTGCAGAGGCAGCGCGGGTTAAATAGAACCTGACGCTGCTGGGAGCCCGTAAACCGGGATTTGGGGCCTGAGAGACATTCCCTGCCGATGGGATCACACCTAGTGCAAGGGAGCCTTGGACACCAGAGCGAGGGGTATTTATAGCCAGGCCGTCACTTCCAGCGGAGCCCTGGGGATATTTTGGGATCGATGTGGTCATGGCTTGGGGCACGTCTGGAGTGTGCCTGGGACCTGCATGGAGAGAGGGGCTGGAGTCCCAGGAGGGGCTGGAGGAGCTGGGAAGGGGCTGAGCCTGGAGAAAAGGAGGCTCAGGGGGGCCCTTGTGGCTCTGCACAAGTCCCTGACAGGAGGGGACAGCCGGGGGGATTTGGGATGTGGGAACAGGGACAGGAGGAGAGGGAACGGCCTCAGGCTGGGCCAGGGGAGGGCAGGGTGGATTTTGGGGAATTTCCCCATGGAAAGGGTGGGCAGGGATTGGAAGTGGCCAGGGAGAGTTGGATCCCCATCCCTGGAGGTGTCCAGGGAAGGCCTGCATGTGGCCAGAGGAATCTATTGCAAGATTGTACAGGGCACCAAATGGGTACCAACAGGCCTGGAGCTTGCAGGTTGTGCCTCTGGCCCATCTTGAAAACTGGGATAACTTTTGCCAGCTTCCAGTTGATTTTGGCTGGAAAAGCCTCCATGACCATCGAGTTTCCCCCACAGTGCCAAGGTCACCACTGGCCCATGTCCCCAAGTGCCACATCCACACATCTCTGAAATCCCAACAGGGATGGAGACTCCACCCCTGTGCCAGGGCTGGCAGCCCTTTCCAGGAGGGAATTCCCCAAAACCCACCCTGAGCTCCCCTGGCCCAGCCTGAGGCCGTTCCCTCTCCTCCTGTCCCTGTTCCCAGATCCCAAATCCCCCCGGCTGTCCCCTCCTGTCAGGGAGTTGTGCAGAGCCACAAGGGCGCCCCTGAGCCTCCTTTTCTCCAGGCTCAGCCCCTTCCCAGCTCCCTTGGCTGCTCCTGGGGCTCCAGACCCTTAATGTCTTTCTTCAAGTTTGGGATATTTCAGTTCTGTCTGTCTGCAGATCTTTCTGCACAAACTGCCCAGCCCAGTCGGATAAAAACCTCAGGACAAAGGGAATGACTGTAGCCAGGGCAGGCTCAGGCTGGATGTCAGGGAAAGGTTCTTCTCCAGAGGGTTCTGGGCACTGCCCGGGCTCCCCAGGGAATGGTCCCGGCCCCAAGGCTGCCAGGGAGGCACAGGCTGGGATTGTTGGGTGATAGGAAAGATGTGTGCTAATGTCTTTACAAACATTTCTAGGGGTGAGGGTATTGGTGTTAATGTCTTTGAAATGGGTCTCAATGTCTGTACCAGCCTCAAGCAGCAGGATGGTTACAGAGCTGACAGCTCTGACTCCTGACACGGGCAAGGGTCTGCACAAGCCTGAACTTCTGAGCTTCGGGGTAAGATGCCAGGCTGAAAGGGGAAGATGTGCTCCACCTGGGGAAGGCTCCACCTTCCCGGTACCGCAGCCAATGGGGAAAGGAAGAGGGCAAGGTGTGGCCGGGATTCGGGGTAAAAAGAGGCTGTGCCCTCTGAAACCCCCAAGGAGAAAATCCACTGGGCTGTGCCTCGGTGAGTGTGACAATTGATAAAAGATTCGTGTTAATCACAAAAGCATTGAGGTTTGCATAAACCAGAATACTAAGCTCCGAAGTGAAGCATGGACACTAGATAAAGGAAATTATATGATTAAATAATTCTGTTTAAAATCACCTTGTTATATTATGCTGTATTATGTTACATTATGTCATGTTATATTATGTTGTATTATGTTACATTATGTCATGTTATATTTTCCAAATAAGTTGTATCGGCTACCAGCTTACAAAATCGGACTTCCCAAAAAGCCCTTCCTGCCTTTGTCTGATCAATGCTGCCTATCTCAAGGACCAGACTTCCAGAACTTCTCTGGTGGTTATCTACAAGGCCCAGATGGCTATCTGTGACTGATTATCGCCCAAAGGCTTTGTGAATTTGTGTAAGGATGTTTATTCAACCACCACTACTTACCTGGCAAAATTATGACAGCAAAAAAACCCCAAAAATTATTAATTACAACGAGGAGCCACAGTATAAGAAGAAGCTGCAAACCGAGGTTGGGTGGAGCGTGGGGTGGGCGGTGACCCCTCACGTTCCCCAGCGCTGCTTGCTCTTTCTATATCAAATAAAGCAATCCAAAATTCTGCTGAATATCGAGACTTTTGTCTCTCATTTATAACAGTGAGTATGCTTCCTTTTAATCCGGTAAAGATGATGGATTCCTCCCTTTGTGCTTTTCACAGCGGGTTTTTCTGTACACTAGGGCTCTGTGTAGGGCCAGGAGTGGGATCTGTGATCCCTGCGGGTCCAGTTCAGGGCAGTCTGTGCGTGGGCACGTGTAAGCGATTCTGCGGCTCCACGGCACCCCTCAGCTGGGCCACCCCAGGCGGCCGCGAGAGGCCGGGGGAGCGGGGAGGGGACACTCCCCGCCAGCCCCGCCTCGCCTTTCCCGCCTTTCCCATGCACGTGACTCTGTCCCTCCCGGACGCGCGTGCGCAGCGCTCCGCGGGGCGCCCCCCGGTGGGCGGGGCCGGCGGCCGGCGCGCGCCTGAGGACGTGGCGATTTCCAGCCAATCAGCGCCCGCGTTCCCGGTGGATGGGCGGGGCCGCAGGGAGAGGGGGCAGGGGGAGGGCACGGGGGTCGGAGAGCGAGGCGGGGGCGGGCAGAGGGGCGGAGTGGCGGCAGAAGAGACCAATCGGAACGTGCAGCGCCACGGAGGAGCAGGCGTGGCCTGCCCGTGATTGGTGGGCGGGGAGGGCGCGCGGGGGGCCGTGCGGCGTGGCGCGGCGCCGACTTCCGGTGCGCGGAGCGGCGGCGGCAGCAGCGGCGGCGGTGGGGACGGTGAGGGACGGGAAGGGACCTGGATGGGCACCGGGACTGGGGCTTGGGGTCCGGAGAAGCGGTGTGAGCGGCTCTGCGGGGCCGCTGCGGTGCGGCGGTAACGCGGCGGCGGCAGCGCCGGGCCCGGTCTCCATGGGAACGGGCGGGAGCGGCGGCGCCGCCGTGTCCGCGAGTCCTGCGGCCCGTCCCGCAGCGCGGCTCGGGCAGTGCTGAGTCCCAGGGCCGCCCGTGCACTGGGCCCAGGGCGGGCGGGAACTCCCGGGGATGGAGCCCCGTCCGCATCTCGCGACCCGGGCGGGACCGTCCCGCGGGAATCCATCGACTGCCCCGGGGCTTCCGCCGGGACAGCGGGCTGTGGGACCCCCGGGATAAAGGGCTGGGGACCCCCGGGACACCAGCATAGCGGGCTGTGGGGCCCCCGGGATAACGGGCTGGGGACTCCCGGGACACCAGCACAGCGGGCTGTGGGGCCCTTGGTGCTGCCTTGTGGGGGCCCAGGCCGGGGAGGTGCCACCCGAAACCTATGTTTTTTTCCCGCAACTATCAGTGACACCGAAACTCTGGAGCTGCTTTGGGGCAGCACCAGCCTGTTTCTACCCCCGGGACTGTTTTCGGCTCCCTGTGTCTCCCCCACATCCATACGTCTTTCTCAGGGCCGGAATTCCCCGAACCCGCACCCCTCACCCTGGTTGTGCCCCTGGGGTGGCACCATGGGGTCCCAGTTAATTGTTCCCTGGCTGCTCCAATGGGAGCAATCCCGTAAAATGCCGAAACAGAGGCTGATGCCCAAACCTGAGCAAACTGTGTTGCCTGTGGCGGGTTTTCTGGGATCCTGTTGGCCTCTCACATGGGGAGACTCAGAGGGGCTTCTGCCCATCAGTTTCCTCTAAATATCACCACACTTCCAAGGCCAGTGCAGGATTCTGGGTT